GCACTTATATACAAGAATACCGCACATCTAGCAAACACTCGAGCATTATCGAACTTTCGTGAACTACATGACGTGTTACTAGCGTCACGTGACTTCCGCTGTCGTAACATAGTTAAACATCATCATTTATATTTTCTTTTTTTGTTTCATTTTTGTTTTATAAAACTTCTATAATAGTTTTTATTTGCTATTCAAACTGCCATTTAAAAACAACTTCTGAGTTAGTACCAGTTATATTTTGAGGCTATGGCAGATTGTTAGTAATGTAAATTAATATAGTAAAAAAATACCGACTTCACAACTAGCGCCAAAGATTGGACTATTCAAGAAGGAAATTCAAGCATTTCAAGAATTAACAATTTTGTTTATGACCAAAGCCTTCTAGCGTTTATTCTCGTTCTGTAAAAGTGTAGGTTTGTTTGCTATGAATTTCGTGCAAAGCTACACGAGGGCTATCTGCGCTAGCCGTTCCTAATTTAGCAGTGAAAGACTAGAGGGAAGGCAGCTAGTCATCACCACCCACCGCCAACTCGTGGGATACTCTTTTACCATTACCTATGAAAAAAAAATAGTTATGGACTACCATGATAATATGTTGATGTTCTATTATTAAGCACAAAGATACACAAAGGGTTAAATGTGCTCTGCCCACCACGAGTATCGAAACACGGTTTCTAGCAGTGTGAGTACGCAGACTCACACTGTGCCTCTGGAGGGCCATATCTGGGACCAGAAACGTTATCATTTTGTAGTTAAGTTACTCAATGTTTTTTCAAAATTAAATAGTTTTTTGTAATTTACATTTTTTTTTTACAATTCATTATTGTCCACATACAAACTTAACGCTTGTCTCATACCTCTAACTGTTGACAATTTGAACTGTCTCTATTTTGTCATTGGCTCATCAAGTTGACTTTGTTGGGTTACCGATTCAACTTGCCAAAGAAAAAGTTTAGGAGATGCTGACGACATTCTTGTTTTTGTTTCTGATTGGTGCGATTACTGGCAGGATGTGGCAATGTTAGGCTAGACTGGTAGGATCTAGTCTGGCACCATTCAGTCTAGATTGAACTTTCAGTTCAGTTTAACCTTGTTTCAAATTTCTAAGAGTTCAGTGCAATCCTGTTTTAGTTTTGTATCTAAGTGAAGCTTCAATGTTACAGTTAAATTCAGTACATGTTTATTGTTCATTCATCTTGTTGTTGATTCCATCTTAACAAAACGTCTGTAAATCGCAGAGTCTGTTTGTGTTATATTCCTCAACTAGTAAACTAGTCATGCAGTTTTTGCGGGGCTCGTTCATTCAAGTATTTCAAGAATAACACTGTGTCAGCATGTTACCAAAAAGTCTAAGAATTTGCTTCCATTATTCTTGAATGAGAAACTGCCCACTTATATAATGATGACATGAAAAAAAAACCCAAACAATTGACCATAATAGGCGAGAGTTCCTTGTGAATAGGATGAAATGAAAAAATAAGTAAAACAAAAACTTTGTAAAAAATTATACTTTGAAAAGCTTAGGTAATAGCTCTGGTACAAAACCTGACTTATATATTCGTACATAAATGCAAAAACTTTAATTTGAATTCCTGATAAGGACTTGCAACATTCACAATGAAAGCAATAATAAAAAAATAGATGCAAATAAAATAAAGTGTTTATCTTTATTGCCAACAGATGCCAGGAAGTTTCCTATACAAGCAGAGAAACGATTGTTTGTTTTTGAATTTCGCGCAAAGCTACACGAGGGCTATCTGCGCTAGCCGTCCCTAATTTAGCAGCGAAAGACTAGCGGGAAGGCAGCTAGTCATCATCACCCATTGCCAACTATTGGACTACTCTTTTACCAATGAATAGTGGGATTGACCGCCACATTATAACGCCCCCACGGCTGAAAGGGCGAGCATGTTTGGTGGGACGGGGATTCGAACCCGCGACCCGCAGATTGCGAGTCGAGCACCCTAACCACCTGGCCATGCCGGGCCTAGAGAAACGATAGACACATAAACAGCGAAATGTAAATCAATGAAGAATGAAAATAAAGAATATTAAAATAGGTTTTAGTTTTCATATAATCTTTAGAACAACCAAAACAAAAATAAGACCTGGATGGAACACACACACACGTTTAAAGAATATTCATGGAAAATAAAATCAGATGAAAGTTCAATCTAGAGCTTTTATTGAGCTTTCATCACCAGCTGAGTAGTGTTAATTGAACACGTATCAACACCTGAAACATACAACAAAACACATAAAAAATACCTAGATGAAATTTACACTTGAAAATTTGTTTCAAAGAGAAATAAAATCTGATGAGAAATGCAAACTTTGAACTTATATGACACAGAAAAAAAATAAAGTAAAATAACCAGTGGACAGTGTATTATTTGTTTGCTTTTCGGATATTCGTCCAAAACTCTTCAAGGGCAAACTGGCCAAGATATCTCTAATTTTGAACTTATAGTCTAGACGGAAAATAGCTTGTCAACAGAACCCACCGCCATCTTTTGGGCTATTTTTGTTTGACTGAATAGTTGGATCTGTCTATTAACCTTATAACGCACCCACCGCCATTTCTTGAGCTATTCTTGTTTGACCGAATAGTTGGGTTTGACTATCAACCTTATAACGCGCCCACCGCCTCAAAGTGCCAAGCGCAATTTGTAATTTTTTCATTTGCAATAATGGGACGCGAACGTTGAATCTACAGATCCATGTTCCGGCACGCTAACTACTGGGCCACATTCATCCAGATACTAAATTGAAGAAGGTGTTGAGAACTCAGTGCCCTGACTTATGAGGTATTGACCGAGCCTGTAAGCCAAGACACAGGCAATAAGCAGAGGTGAGATGGAACTGACAGGCAATCAGCAGAGATGAGGAGGAACTGAAAGGTAATCAGCAGAGATGAGAGGGAACTGACAGGCAGGCAGTCGAAAATGAGAGAGAACTGATCTAAGATAACATAAGATTAGTGTATAATTGGAAAATAACGGTGGTTTTCTGCTGACAGGCGAAAAGAACTATGTTTTACTCAGTCAAGCGACTAGCAGATATATATTAAACTAAACTAATCAAAAATGGTAAATCTTGTCGAATATTTTGACGACTTCTCAATAGGCGAAGTGATAGAAAATAAAATATATA